GCCGCACCCGTAAAATGCCTCAGCCCCAATGCTGGTCACGGAGTTGGGAATCTTGATGCTGTCGAGGGCAGCGCATCCGCAGAATGCTCTTTGACCGATGCTGGTCACCGACTCGGGAATATCCACGTGCTGCAAAGCGCTGCACCCGTAAAATGCCTCAGCCTCAATGCTGGTCACAGAGTTGGGAATCGTGATGCTGTCGAGGGCAAAGCAAAAAGAGAACGCGTTCTCGCCGACGCTGGTCACCGACTCAGGAATATCCACGTGCTGCAAAGCGCTGCACCCGTTAAATGCCTCAGCCCCAATGCTGGTCACCGAGTTGGGAATATTGATGCTGTCAAGGCTGAAGCAGCCGTAGAATGCTCTTGGACCGATGCTGGTCACCGACTCAGGAATATCCACGTGCTGCAGAGCACTGCACCCGTAAAATGCATCAACCTCAATGCTGGTAATGGAGTTGGGAATATTGATGCTGTCAAGGCTGAAGCAGCCGTAGAATGCTCTTTGACCGATGCTGGTCACCGACTCAGGCATATCCACGTGCTGCAAAGCGCCGCACCCGTAAAATGCCTCAGCCTCAATGCTGGTCACGGAGTTGGGAATCTTGATGCTGTCGAGGGCAGCGCAGTCGCAGAAGGCTCGCCTCCTGATGCAAGCTACAGACCCAGGGATCTCGACTTCCCGCAGCATGTGACAGTCTGCAAATGCGCTGTTGGATACTTCAGCTGTGCCATCAGGAATTTCAACAAAAACCACTTTTTCGATAGGGACTCGCAGCCGCCTAGCTGCTTGCACGACATCCTTGAGTCGTACCACAGTGAACACCTCGGCCCAGGGAAGAGTTGAGAGTTTCTCAAAACAGGAGGCCTTAGGGTTTCTAGGGTTTAGGGTTTTTAGGGATCTACCTGCTATTCGAGGGCTCCTATCTAGTTCCTGTTGGGGTTTGCTCTGTTTTGGTGAGGGGTTCTCGTATTCTACCCACAAGTAAACTCAAGAGGAGGGTCTGAGTAGGGTTATTTATGAAGCACAGCCATAGCCACCCTCTTCGGAATCTATGTCGGGAAGCTCCCTGCTGCTTCACTGCTGCTATCTGACACACTAGACCCAAGCCTTAGACCATAGGCCCTAGACCTTAAAAATGAAACCCTTGACCCTAGACCCTGAACTTTTAAATCCTAGGCCATAAACCCTAAACCTTAAACCGCAGACCCTAAAACCCCAACTCTAAATCCTGAAGCCATGTTGGCAGGTGTAGCTTTGGTCAGACGTCCACCTGAGGCTCCCAAATCTCGGCATCATGCTGCACCTGGGTGGCTGTGAAGGAACCGGAACCAAGTTATAATAATATGGGGTTTCCCCAAAATTAGGAGTACCTTTTTGGGGGTCCCCATAATAAGGACTATAGTATATTGGAGTCTATATTGGGGTCCCCTTATTTAGGGAAACTACCATATGGGTGTTTCGAAAAGTAGGGGTTTGCCCTCGGGACCCTGGTGATCTATAGGAACTAGAAGTGGATTAGTGGGGTCCTTATCAGGGTTTCTATGGATGCTTTGGCGGAAAGAATCACGGGATCCCTGTAAAAGGGACTATAGAGGTTCTACAGGGCTATATTGGGTTTGGGATTGAAATTCCACAATATGGATATAAAGTGAATATCACGACCTTTTGCCTTTCTTACATAAAAACCGGTACTTCAATTCCTCAACAGCTGCCTAGACACTGGTTGAGCACTCTCAGTTACCAAGCGAGCCGTATAGCCTGCTGGCAACCTGAAAGCTTCGTGATCCAAAATCATCGCGGCAGTTGTGCCACGCTGCACCTGGATCTTTGTTGACGATCCATCCACACCTTACCCAAGGGCTCCTATGCAGTTCCTTAATGGGTTTATCATGGTGTTTTGGCAGCCTTGAACCCTAGATCCTAAACCCTCAACTCGAAATCCATCCACACCTTGAATGCTCACCTCAATCGGAGAGGTCGTCATTGCTTGCACGGCTGAATGGAAAGGCGAATTCAATCAGGTTGTGATGTTGCCATGGTTGCAAAACAAAAGGACACATGCCTGGCCACGCCTAGGTAGGCATGTTACGAAGCACCAGTGCTAGCTTGAAGAACAGGATAGCAACTAAACCCTAGGGTTTACGGTTCAGGGTTCAGGGTTTAAGAGTTTAGGGTTTAGGGTTTAGGGTGTATACCTGGGTACGGCTTGGGTTTGCGCTTCCGAGCCCTAGACCTGCAAAACGTTGCGTAAACCCAGGTTGCATGTCATGTTCCATTTTCGTTTCTGTTAGCATCATCCCTTTAGCATATGATAATCTATCATAGTTTATCATAATATTTTCAGTACATCTTAATATATTATGGTATGCTATAGTGTACTATAGTATCATAGTTAGTATAGTATAGTAAACAGTATAGTATAGTAGATTATCAAAGAATATATTATAGGCCCGTATACTATATGGGGTCCTCAAACCCGGAAGTAAAGCTCAAAAACCGTATAGCCTATACTCCAAGCATGTTGCCACGAATTGCACAAGCAGGCTTGTGCTTGCTGAATTTCTTTTGGGTTCCCTAAGCCTGGAACCCTAAACCCTGAACCCTACACCCTAGGGTTTTGAGGGTTTAGTTAAGGTCTCCTTGACAAACAGAACTGGGTTGTCTTCTACATGGATCCACACCCTGGAGCTCTAAGTATAAACACTACTACCTCCTTGGGGCACCAAGATCTATGAGTCATGCCTGCCTTGGACTGCCTGTCGCCCTGGGGCCAGGGTGTAGGGCTTAGGGCTTTACTTGAATTGCGAAAGTAGGCCAAAGACGCAAAACCGGGCGAGTGCATTTTCCCAAGATGTGCCCAAAATGACATTCAAATGCTGTGTCATTGTGTCATCAGAAAAGCAGCTACTCACCCAACCTTAAACCCTGGGCACACTAAGACTTTGAGGCATTTTACCCTCCCCAAACTACTGTGGAATCCCGGCACCCTGAAACCTTCAGCCCTAAAACGCCCTGCGCAAAGCATAATCCATGTATAACCCCTATATACCCTCCTCCACCCTAAACTTAAAAACCCTAATCCCTTCGCCCTTTAAGCCCTAAACCCCCAACCCTAACCCCTTCACTTGTAAACCCCATGAGCCTCCCAACATAACCCCTTAGACCCATATACCCTATTATATTATAGTAGTTTCCATTTTCTTTTCCATTATCCCTACATAACCCCTTAGACCCATATACCCTATTATATGATAGTAGTTTCCATGTTCTTTTCCATCATCCCTACATAACCCCTTAGACCCATATACCCTATTATATTATAGTGTAAAAGCCCTGAAGCCCCGAGGTCCAGCCTTCTGACAGACGCTTTGCCTGCTCGTAGAGCAGCTGGATTCGGGCATGTTCACCCTGCAAGCCAAGCATGTGGGTGGTTGTCAAAACTATGGTCCCTTTTTGGTTACCCTAAATATAGGGATTATAGGGACTACATTGGGGGTTCTATGGGGATAATGGAAAAGAAAATGGAAACTACTACTATATTGGGGTTATTTATACCCTATTAGTCCCTTTTTGGGTACCCTAAATATTAGGTGCCGTATTCTAATAGGGATCCAAAAAGGGACCCTAATTTTGACAACCACCCATGTACGTCTGAGAAGTAAAGTCGAGCCCCCGTACTGAACGTATATTGGGGTTATGTGGGGGTAATGGAAAAGAAAATGGAAACTACTATACCATAATATAATAGGGTATATGGGTTCAAGGGGTTATGTAGGGATAATGGAAAAGAAAATGGAAACTACTATATGTCTCGGAGATGTGATGCCCGACTTTCAGCAACCTGATTTTGACTTGGTGTTGCGAAAGCCTTCCTTGAGGTTGGCTTCGCGTGTCATCTACGATCATGAGACCCTATCGGCACCGACTTGGTTCTTGAACCCAGTGTCCACTTGCAACATTTGGGACATATCCAAATTCGAAAACTGCAGTAGGTCTAGGGTTAGGGATGATAGCTTTCTCTGATGGATTACAGAGTGCATGTTCTCACAAGACCATGTAGGTGTAAAATGCGATTCTCTCTTTGTCCATGACTTCATGAAAAACACCTTGTTGTCGGAGCCACCCCCTGCAACTCCAGATGTGTAACCCAGCTACCGAATACTCAAGAATCTCGACATGGCAAGACCTTTCGGGTGTAATTTTGCGAAAGCAACCCCAAGAAGAAGAAGAAGTAGTAGTAGTAGTAGTATCAACCACAGAGAGGAGTACCACTCACCATGGCACTGATGATGCGAATTGAGGAGATAGCTCTAGCATGCTCCAGCGTCAACTGACTAGCATTGCGACGAGCAATAACTTCCACCCGAACCGGGAAGAGTATCAAAAAAGGGAATAACCAATATCATGTTGAGGTCCATTTGAATCACCATGGCCCATAATTAATTATATACGGAATATGGAACCATAACATTGGTAAATTAATTAGGCCCCTATATTACAGGATTTCTGGGTAGCGTGGATTCTGCAACTGTGTGCGCACAAGGTTCGGGATGCCCCGATGTAATGAGTCCAGAGCTTGGGGTTGATTCTTAAGATGATGTACTCTTACAAAAGGGGCTGAAAGGGGTTTAGGGTTTAGGGCTTATGGGTTTAGGTAGGGTGTTGAGGATAACGGGTGATTTGAGAAAAAACCCAGCCATACATCCCATGATCCTCCAGCGAAAATGCCAAGACTGGTCCTGTATACTCCCATCAACCAATCCATCAACCAACCAATCAATCAAACTGCCTGACCGGATATGCTCCTGCATGCAGACGCCCTTTCTCAGACATTGGTGGTGAAGCGAAGATTTCTCAAAATTGAGGGCCGCTCATAAGTACCAGGAAACCCCTTGCGGTGGCCCTTTAGTAAAGAGCCCAGAAAAGGGTCCCAGAATTTTGAGAAACTCCAAGGTAGCTTCGCAGCAGGCGAAGGAAGAAGAGCTGACTCCTGGCCTGGATTTTTGGGACATCCAAGGTTCTAAAATCGAATTATGGAAGCTGGACAGCCGTCACCAGGAATGGACAATTTCTGATGCTGCAAGTTGCCCACCTCAGCGCAGAAGGCGCTGGTTAGACCAACTCGCCGCATGTCAAAGTCAGCAACCGCTGTGAACCCCTGCGCCTATGCGCCAAGCCGAATCTCAGCCCTTAAGTCCTTGCTCTCCACGGCCGCAGGGCCGGTCAAAATGCGCCCATTCCTGGGATGTCCGAGTCTGTGCAAACACCTGGATGGTCATACGGCATTCCGAGCATAGCGTGCCACTCTGGCACCCGCTCGGAGGAAAACCGAAAATCTAAGGCAGGAGTCAAAGAGCAATCCTTTTGACTGCAGTAGACTTTTGAATGTGCATCAGGTCTCTCCATGCCCGAGGCCCCACGACACAGGTCATGGCGGCCTGGGCCTGGTTACGGAACCTCCTGCAGCTTACCAAAGTCTTTGCAGCGAAACCATGCTTCCTTTTTCATCTCCAGCTAAAAACTGAAAATGACACAAACTGATGACCCGCGCGAGGGGGGAAAGACGCTGGTCTCGCATCTCAAATCGAGCCCCAGGGCCAGGGCCCTGAGGCAAAGAGCACGTCGGTTGAAGTTGGGCTGACTCATGTTGACTGGCTTCAGAAGAAGGCCCTGAAACTTACGAGAGAATCACAACACTGCACCCAGGTGGCAGCCAAAGCTGCGTAAAGTGAAACGCCTCAAGCAGTTTCGCGTCCATCCTGCTGGAGATTCCCCAGCTAATTGTTGCTTCAGTATCCGTCTGCGTCTACTTAGTCTGTTGGGGTTCAACGCAGTAGGACTGATGGCAAAACTTGAGATGTCGCCGACGTCTGAACGTCCAAGGCCAAAACAACGCGCAGAACACAAGACTCTCCGGAATTGCACTTACCTACCTACCCGCCTACCTACCCACCTCCCTCCCTACCTACCTACCGACTTACCTACCTAACTACCTACCTACCTGCCTGCCTGCCTGCCTGCCTGCCCGCCTGCCTGCCCGCCTGCACCTATGACTTGTCTGGGTTTTGGCCTCAAATGTCCAGGCTCAACGAATGCAAGAGGGGTGGAATCAAGTTGTTCCGGGCTTGGCTACCCTTCCTAGCTGTGCACAAGCTTGGACGGCACCTCAGCCCACAGGCGAACTACGGTGGTAGGGGCATCTCAGAAACAAGGGTCCGGCTGTCCTTATGAGAGAGGGTCTGCTGTTGGGAAAAGAATGACCCTTGTTTCGAGACATAGCCTGGATGTGACGACATACCATGCATTCCCTGCATCGAAAAGTGGTCTTTATTTCAGTCAATCGAATAACCAGCTGCGCAAACCCAGCACCGATGAGCAGAACTCCGCACATCAGCGCCTGTATGTTTGAGGGCGCCAACTGCATGGTATGCCGGTCTTGCAAAAATGGCCTGCTCCTGAGGCTTCGGGTTGCTTTGGGCTGTGTAAAATGAGTGCAGGAACCAAGTCAATTGGTAAACACTTTGATGCACAACAGTGCTGTACCTAGAGACCACGGTACCAAATGTCTACATGCATCAGGGTTCCGCCCAACAGCCGCAATGAGCGTCATATCGTCCGCACGCCGATTCCAAGCCTCAGCTCCAAAATGCTGCAGCGCTGGTGGAACTTCAAGCCAGGGTGGTGGTACTTGTGCTGGTGCTGGTGCTGGTGCTGGTGCTGGTGCTGGTGCTGGTGCTGGTGCTGGTGCTGGTGCCAGTGCCAGGGCGTCTGCTTCTGCTGCTGCTGCTGCTGATGCCGTTGCCGCTGCCGTTGCCGCTGCCGTTGCCGCTGCTTGTTGGTACCTGTGCGGGTTCCGCTGCCGCCACCGCCCCTGCGCACCCGCTACCGCCACCGCCCCCACCGCTTCCCCCCCCCCCCGCCGCCCCCCGCGCCGCCCCCACCGCTGCCGGTGGCACTGGCGCTGGCGCTGGTGTTGGCAGTGGCAGCTGAGCTCTCATAATGAGAACGAGTATGCAGGATGATAGCAATAGCAAAAGTCAGAGTACATGTCAAAGATCAAAAAAGAGACTAGTCTGGTTTCTGCCTCGCAGCATGTTCGGCGCTGAATGATAGCTTCACGACCCGTTCCGCCAAGGCAGGTCTTGGAGTCACCGCGTCCTGCCGCAAGGATCGTGTGAGTTCCCAGCTAATTGGAGCAGATTCAGGGTAGGGAGTTCCCAAAGCAGGCCGAGAATGATATTTCCATTATCCCAAGATAACCCCAATATGCTGTAGTAGATTCCATGTTCGTTTCCATTATCCCAGTATAACCCCAATATACTATGGTAGTTTCCATTTTCTTTTCCATTATCCCAATACAAGTGGCATGGTCGTTGTTGAGGCAGACATTCACACAAGAGTGACATCCCTGCTCCAAAGCCTGAACGCTACAAGTACACCCTTGGAGCAACCCAGGCCCCTGGGCAGATCTAGAAAGTAGATCTCCATTCAGGGTTCCTACAAATTGCCCAATAGTAGTATAGGGTACCATAATGGGGGTTCTACTTTGAGGATCCTCCCAGGGGTCTGGGAAATGATGCCGCTGTTTGACCCAAGAAATTCAATGCCTATCCCGCAGCCAGCACGCCTAAACTCCACAAATCAGCCTTTGGATCCAGGCTAGCATCCAACTCAACATTTTCTGTGACTTGTTGCAGATAAACTGTAAAGAAATTGTTAAGAGGTTCTGTTTGAAAGAACATGTAGCAGGTACAACAAACAGGCATTCTCACAAACTGTTCCTATGGCTTTGCAATCGCAGTTCTCTAAGACCTAATAACCTCTGAACCCTGAGCCCCAAAACCGGGGCCTCTTGACCTTGTCGGAAGCCTTGTAGGCAGCCCAGAGGAAGGGCGGCAAGGGGCACTCTTCATCAGGGAACCTTGCTTCCTGCCATCTGCAACGCTTAGTGGGGTCATGAGGAGAGGATTTACATCTGGAGGTTATGGGCTCCGGGGGCAGGCAAAACGAAAGCAATACATAGCCCGACATTAGCACAGGCCCTCTTTTCAGATAGGCAAGCATAACTAAATACTGAACCCAGGTCAAAACTAATCACCTCCCTCTATGAATAGGGTTTAGGGTTTAACCCCACCCGCTATTAATACATATTCCCCATGATATTTGTCGGTGCTATATTCGGGGCACGAGAATAAGCTCCCACCACCATGAATATTCCCCTAGTAGTAGAGCGGTATTATACATATTGGGGCGTATTACAATTCCCCTTCAATTCCCCTTCATATGAACTATAGCCTAAACTCCTAGTATCCCCCTTAATAACTCCTATAACAGTCCCCTATATAATCCTCTATATAACCCCCCTTTAAGGAGTTTAGACTATGGCTCATATAGGGAGGGGATCACCA